GGAAATAGGTTTTTGCTAATAAAATGATTCCATGCTCATGGTAGGAACTTGGAAAATACAAAAAAGTTCAGAGATAAGAATACAAAATCACTTTTAATTCTACTATAATGAATGATCCCTGTTACATTGTGGTTATTTTCTCCTGTTATGAAAATTGGTTTAACTTGATTGAAATCCTAAGAAAGGCTTTTTTGTTTGCCTACAGAATACTCAATGCCACTACCTTTACATTCCTTGTTGATCTCAGAATGATAAAAGACATAAGTAGAAGGAAAATAAAATTATTAGACGTATGGATCCTTGTAAATGTGCGAAACATCCTCCACTGAACTTCTATGTAGTTAAAAATATATATGTAAATGTAATATATGACTTTTACAGTAAGTACAGGCTTCTAAAGTAAGCAGAAACATACTATATAGACAGTTTTCATTGTGCTTTTTTACATTTAGCAATATGATTTTCTATGTCAGTACTTTTAATAGCTATATAGGGTTTTATTTCAAGTACATAACACCTCAGAAGTTAAGACATGAGTCAGTCTCGTCTCACAAGTGTCTAAGTCAATAAACCAGATCACCAACCAACAAAGATTTCAAAACAATTTCTCTCTTTACATTTCTACTATTATAGATAGCTAAGTTAGATAGAAATTAATATACAGTTAGAGAGGGGTTGGGGATGCAAGGAGGTCAGAACAAAAAAATAAAGACGTCAGAATTGTGGCTAGATGGGCCAGGAGTTTAGCTCCGTGGCACCGTGCCCACCTGGCAAGTACAAGGTCCTGAATTAGATTCCCAGTACCAGAAAAAAAAATTGTGGCTAGAGGGGGATCCGAAGAGAGCTAGGCCTCAGGATGGAAAAGTGATAGCCAGGCCAGGCCTGATGTCTCCCTGGAGATGAATGATAACTTGAGGTAAGACTGGAATCAGCATCGCCTGGTCCAGGGGCCCAGACAGGCACCAGACACATGGCGGGTGACCAGGACATCCAGACCCATATTCCCCTCCCTGCCCCCAAATGCCTTTGTTCTTTCCATGTACCCTTGCTACGTGACTCATTTCTCTATTGATCAACATTAGCTAAGCGGCTATACTTATAATCCTATAGGTTGGTTGTAGTTTGAGCCATGTTGTACCCATGTTGTGATTTTGCTGTATAAATTACCCATGACAAACCACTTCGGTGACCATCCGTTCAGGACCCCCCCTGTCTTTCAGGAGCTTTCTCGTAATAAAATTTCCTGCTCCTAACCTCCTTTGTCCCTTGGAATTCATTCTTCAGTATTCCAGGGACTTGTACTTGGCATATCTGACATCCAGCAGGCTGCGAGTTATGTTTTTCCTATATCATTAGTACTTGCGGAGGGTATGTGTGTGGTCCCAATAATAACTCATTTCATTTCCCATTTACTTCCTCATATCCCTTAGCTTGTCTGGATTTCACAAAGCCTCAAATCTTTTTTCTGTGCCCTCTGTCTTCCTCGTGATGCTACATCACAACAGTCTAAAAGCTACTGAACATTTCCCTTATGGAGAGACGGGAAAGACGATCCAAGACAAAATTGTTTCCCTGGAAGACTGAAGGGGTCAGCTTGGAATACTCATGTTAATAGTTTTGATCCACTCCGTCATTTACTTAATCTGCCTCCTATTGCACATTTTGTTTGGCTCATGCTGTTAGAAGCAATAGTGCAGTGAACCATTTTGTATCTAAATCTTTGCAGACATCTACAAAAGAAGAGTCAGGAAATTTTTATATTGTCAAGTGAAAGGAAACTGATATTTTGATTACTGTCAAGTTGCCTTCCAAAGGGATTGCGGTTTATACCTTTGCCAACCACAGATGGCGGTGCCTGATTCCCCACCCCCTTGCTGACACTTTAATTTATATTTCTGTAATGATAAGTGAAAATAAGAATCTCTTTATACCTTTCTATGTGATTTTAAGGTACAGTGGTGCATTTCTATAATGCCAGCTGCTTGGGAGGCTGAGGTGGGAGGATTGGGAGGCTGAGGCCAGTTTGACAATGTAACAAGATCCTATCTTTAAAAAATAAAAGGATTACATTTCTTTTTCTCTTTACTTCCTGTCACTTTGTTTTCTTTTTTATATTGATTCATAACAGCTATTAAGAAAATTAGCCTGTTGATCTAGCATGTGTGTTGCAGATATTTTATTAGTTTGTTTTCAGAGTAAAAAAAATGTTTGCCCGTTTTCCTATAAAATTTTAACAATTTCATAACAATCCACTTAGAATTAGGTTGGCACAAGGAGTTATGTGGAGATCCAGTTTTGAGCTGGGGGTGTAGCTTGGAGGTAGTGCACCCCAGGGTTTGCTCCCTAGTACCTCATAAACAAACAAAACATCAAAGAACTCAGTAGGTTAAAAAAACCCAAACAACGAATAGTTATTATATCCCAGTTTCTGCCAGCCAGAGATTTGGGTGGTTCCGGCTCAGTCTCTCACTAGGCTGTGGTCAAGACGTCAGTTTCGGGTACTGTCCTGAGCCCTCACGGGGCTGCAGGATCTGCTTCAAATTTGCTTTGGGCAGATGGCCTTTGTTCTTCATGCCTGCCTCAGTGTCCCCAAACATGGTGGCCACTTCCTCCAGAGGGAAGGAGCCAGGACAGAGTGCAGCAAAGCCACAGTCCCCTTCAGGTGCTAGCCTCCAAAGTGACATGCCATTGTTCTGTTGTCATACAGACGCATTCTGTGCCTCATAGGAGGAAGCTTATCCAAGGACAAGAATACTACCTAAGGAAGGGACCACCAGAGCCACACCATCCATGTGGCCAACGCCCAGAAGTGTTCAGAACAGTTTTACCACTCAGTAAAGTTCATTTATGCCTTTTCCCAGTTACCAATCAAAAGGTGACACTACTCTGACTTTTATCACAATAAACTGTTTTTGCCCATTCTTAATCTTGATGTAAATGGAATTAGTCTTTTATGTCTGGTTTCTTTCACTCAACATTCCGTCTATGGCTCTTCTGCATTGCTGGTAGCAGTAGTTCATCCTTTTTTGTTGCTGAATAGTTTTCCATGGTATAAAATACTGGGTTTTTATGTTTACCATATGCCCTTAATTCTTTTGGGTTCTGTTAGAGCTCCTTACTTAAACAAGCTGAATTTTACAGACATGTTTATTTAAAACAGCTTACAACTCACTCATGACTTTAGCGCCAGTGGTGACGACTGACTCAGAACTACATGGGTCACTGCTGGTCAGACTTATGGTCAGATGTTACTCACCCTGGCAAGGATGCTGGAGTTGATGGTTAATCCAATCCTGGGTGTGGTATCACTTCCAGTCAGGACACTAGTGCTGTGGGAAGACCTTTCGATCCGGCAGGCAGGTTTCAGACTGGCATTGCCTTCTCTGGAGGATTCTGTCCTGCGATACATTCTCATTTGCTTTGGGTGTTTTTCTTTTTCCAAATCTTTTCTAAAATAGGGAGTCCGAATCCTGTAAACTGAAAGCTTTCTTTCTAAGATGACTCTCACAGCTTCACAGCAAGTAGGAACACAGAGACCATTTCCTTCACTGAATATTAGAGGCTTACGTCCTCCTGAGAGGGGAAAGAATCGGAATTATGGGAAGTCACTCTCCCAGCTGACGGAGATAAAGCTGATGAGGCATCTTTCACATCCTTTACTTATTAAAACACAAATTCATGTTTTTTAATGATTTTGAAGTACTGCTAACAATAAAGGTAAGAGTACTAGGGAAGGTTCTAAGACCTTCCAGACCCACCAATCACACACACTTTTAACTAAGGGCTAAGGATAGTCAGGTGGCATCTCATAGTGAGAGAGCATGCAAGAGATCACATGGCTGGACGGGAAGAAAGGAGGCACCGGCTCACTCTTCTATAACCACCTCTCGGGATCAACCTGCTCCATAGAACAGCATTGACCCTTTCAGGGGAATGATCGCAATCCAATGACCCCCCAAGGCTCCGCCTCATTCCATTACATTGGGGAATTAAGTCTGTACATGAGTTTTGCGGGGAGAGCCATATTCCAGCCACAGCAGCATGTAACGTGTTTTGTGTTTGTTTTTTTCCTTGTATTTTGAAGCATGAATAAATAAAAGGGACATGAACTGATGTGAGACAACCACAGGAAAGACCATAATATGTCATGATAATTGCCTCCCAAAGCCAGGTTTCTCAACTCCAACTTGGGGATTAGTAGTGCCTATTTCACAGGGTTGTTATCGGGGTAAATGAGAAAATGCATGTAAACTTTAATAAGAGATTATCTATGTATCAATCCCTTAGCAAACATCGGTTGCTGGTTTACTGTTATTAATAATCGGTGACACATCCTGTGGTCACCACCAATGAAACTCACCCAGTCCCAGTGCCCAAACCTCCTAGTTATGAAATTAGGAACTCAGCTTCTCACCCCTACAATCTGCAGGCCCAGCTCAAAATGCAGCCATCGCTGTCTGGCTCCAAGCAGCCTGGTATTACAGCGTGTTCTTTTCCTTTTCAGTGCTACCCCTCCCAGGGTGGGTTATTGGTGAGATGTAGCTTCTGGTGGTCGAAGAGGGTAGAGAGCACAGAGGGAAAGCTGTGGGGGCTTCTCTAGATTCCTGATGTCACTGCCGCAAATGTGTTTCCTACACAGGAAACTCTGCAAATCCGCTGAGTATTTCACAAGAGAAAGCCATTGTAAAGGACTGGAGGGCCAGGAGCACCATAAACACAAAAATAGAAATCAGGAATTTTTTATTTTCAGTGTCTTCAGTGACTATCCCAGGGATTTCTGTCTGAAATGAAAACCTTTACAAACCATTATAAATGCTCTCTATAGTAGAAATAACAAAATCATAGGTCCATTGGTAAAATAAAGCTTAAAGAGCTATTTGAGATCCCAAATATCAACATATTTACTAAAAGAATTGACTTATTCATTCTGAAATTCCATGCATTTAAAAATCTTGTACAAATGACTTCTAAGAACAAAGGGAAAACACTGCAAAGGCAAACTCAGTCATATATAAACTTTATTTTAAATTTTAACATGGAATGTGTCATCAAACAGGTGTAGGTAATTACAAACTTTTGCAGTTCAATTTAGCAGATGATTTGCACAGGAATCACTAGTTTTAAGTCTTAGGCTGCACAGTTTAACTGAACTGTGAGTTAGGTTAAATAAAATAAGAATCACTTAAATGTGTGCAAACTAAATGCAATTTTTAAAACAGGCCTTTTGTTTAGGCTTTGGTAGGTGATTGATCATCTTCCCCCGCTATGGATAATACAGTCTCATCTAGATCAAACGCGATCCTTCTAAGGTATATGACCCCTCACCCACCAGAAGAAGGCCTCTGTTAAATGTTAAAGCTACTAGGTTTATTCTTATGGCTCCAGTATTGTTCGAGAATATTATCCATATAAAACCACCTAAGGACTAGGCCAATGACAAAATGCCTTAGTAAAAACATTAAGTTTGTAATTTGTCAGTACCCAAAATACTGTTTTGTTTTGGATCCGTGATGAGCAATTATTTTTGGCAAAAGGGTTAACTAAAGGGAAAAATATACAGTACTTAAGGCTATATTATTTTCCTCCTCAAAATGAATACAGCTTTTTGAAATTCCCATAGAAAATGTGTATTTGTATAACTTCGCTAAATAAAAGAATGTCAATAAAGAAATTGGCACTGCTTTCTAGCTACCAAGATGTTTTATAGCTGGTGTTGTGGTAACAGAGTTGTCTAATCTTTGTCTTGAAATGAGGTGGAGGATTTCTGTGTAGCCAGTCTGGCTGAGTCTCTGAAGGCTGTGAGTTGCTCTTGACTGGCTTTGCTTGTCACACTGACCAAAATATGCTGATTTTTATGGCATTAATCATAAAGTTTTTTAACGCAAAACATTTATTGGTACATTTTAGATATACATAATGATAGCATTCATCATAGAGAATTTGTACCTGTACATGATATATCTTGCTGCTTTTTTTTTTCTCATTCCCCTCCCCTCCCTTCAATCCTTCTTCCCCTTCTTAAATCATAAACAGTTTTAAGGGAATATTTTCTAATTTCAAAAATCATATCCTATCAATTACTGACTTAAAGATGATGATTTTAGTACCACAGGAAGTTAGTTAAATAAGTTATTTGGGGATTATAACATTTCCCTCCATTTTAACATGTCTTTACATAGAACACTTGCTGGAAGCCAGCACAGAATATGAGCAGGAAAACTAACAGTTTGCAGATAACAGAAACTATACTGATATTTACGGTAAGATTATAGGAAAAAAAGTTTAGTTTTTGTGAGCACAGTTAGGCACTGACAGGCAGTTAGACACCATTGATCATAAAGTGCATTGAATATAATTTTTAGCCCCTTGAAGGAATAATAATTCAATAAAATTCAGGATTCTTTCTTGGGAATCAATCAACCCAAGGACATGCATAGATGAGTGCTTATTAAATACTAGCAGCCATCTTTTTTTTTTTTTCCAGTACTGGGGATAGAACTCAGGACCTTGCACTTGTGAGGCAGGTGGTAGAACCACTGAGCTAAATCCCGGGCCCAACTAACAGACATCTTTAGTACTTATACTCCTCTAATAGTCATAGCAGCACATCATATGGGTCTATATCACATTTTATCTGAGGACCTCAAAGCCATTGTATTAAGTAAAGTGGTGTTGGAAGTTCAAGATTCCGCAGTTTATTAGGTCTACTTACTCATGGAGTGGGAAATAGACTCCCAGAAATAGGACCAAAATAAATGTTCAAAGAGACAAGCCTAACTCTTTCATGGTTTGTAATTTTCTGGACTTCCAAATTTGCTACTGTTATCCTAGCATACCTGCAACATCGAGTAAGTGAAAGCAATTTTTACATGTCAGGAATGAGATGAGGATTAATTAACAAACATACAGTTTGTCTTTTCTATAGTGCACTAGTCCATCTTTGAATAGTATGTGGTGGAATGTTGGAAGTTGTTTTCCAATAATGCATATTTGAATATTATTGATTCCCAATAACCATGGTTATGATCTTTAGGTGGAAGAAAACATTTTACACTGGAATGACATATATATATATATATATATATATATATATATATATATACTTTATCACACCTACATTTAATGAATAAGCAAAAGCACATCCGTTCATTGAAGGTCAGTCATTCTTTCCACCTTTTAAAGGAACAAGGCTTTCTGTCTTCTTGCTTAGTACTGAAAACCCTGTCTAACTTCAGATTTAACTGGGAGACTCAGGTTAGCATTGTTGCCAATGAGTTTCTGTGGAATCTGTAAATATGCCAGGCCTGGAGCTGAGTGCCAGGGCAGTGTGAGATGCTCATCCTAAGTGAGGAAAGGGGCCCCCTAGCTCCTCTTGTTCATTTGGTGCACAAAACATAGGGACCCACAGGGCAGGCTTTCAGTGTATATTTGTTCTTAAAAGAATTTCCAACCCTGTTTGAAAAGCAATTTCTTTTTTGACAGTGTGGATAAGGTTTCTGTCTTTCTGTCAAATGTGGAACTAAGTTAGCTCTTCCTATGACCTTCTTTACTTTGGAGGAGACGCAGTATGCGTTCATTTTTGGTTAGTTCTGCTGGAAGTTCATTGGCCTGAAAGAGGATGAGATGAACATTAGTGAGTTCCCATAGCTGGTATGGTTTTAAGGCCCCCAAAGAGGGCACCTGACCCACACTTTCCTCTTGAGTAACGAAAAAATCCCCAATGGACTCTCTTTTATATTAAGGTTAAAAAAAAAAAACTCCTTCAGATGTATAAGTGTCACCCAGTTTCTTATCTCATGGTTAAAGTTATTTTTCTGTCTAGTCAGATCTTCACCAGACTAACATCCGGAAGAGCAGGGCCTATATCTTATAAGTCATTATATATTCATTTCCAGCACTTTTTTTTAAACTCCCTTTTTTTTTTGGTATTGGGGATCAAACTCAGGTCCATGCACTTGTGAGCCAGGCATGGTGCCACTGAGCTAAATCCCTGGCCCTTCACTTTTTACTTTGGGCCAGGGTCTCGCTAAATTGCCCAGGCTTGGCTCAAATTTGTACTTTCTCTTTCAGCCTCCCAGAATGCTGGGATTACAGGTGTGCACCCCACATCTAGGTAGATCCATCTACTTATAGATGGACCTCTTTCCCATGCACAATAATATCATGCACTGTTCGTATTTGTTCACTGAGTTACATAGATCCTCTAAATGTTGACACATTTTATTGTGCTATATCGAGATCACATTCAGTGATTCATCAGAAAAGTCTTTTTGGACTGGGAAGCTATTAAGCTCATAGAGGTAGACACAAGTTGTTTGAAAAATGGTGTTCTATGAAAAAGTGGCTGGTTCACTCTCTAATTCAAACAATTCTTTAGATATCAGCATACTCTAGCATATAGCAAAAGTGTATTACATATATTTCTTTTTTTTTTGGTACTGGGGATCGAACTTGGGACCTTGCGTTTGTGAGGCTGGTGCAAAAACCACTGAGCTAAATCCCTGGCCCAATATATTTCCATTTTGACACATAGAATCTTAAAAAGATGTACAGTAGGGGCCAAAATGTAACAAAATTAACCTTTTTTTTACTGTCTCATTTAAGACATTCTTAAGTAAAACTGGTAGTTTTTTGTAAAATAATTGACAAAATGTATAAGGCAGCTAATAACATTATAAAATGTTTTGCAGGATGGTTTGGGGCCCCCTGGTCTGATGTGGATTAAGGCAGTAGCAGTTTTACCCACCATTGCTTTTGTACCAAAGAGAAGATGTCAATACAGTGACAAAGGTGACAACATTTTTGTGTGATCAAGAGTGAGCTGCCCTGACCAGGTCTTCAAGCCCCTCAGGGCTCAGCAGTTACAGAGAATCAAGTGGATGTTTGGGGCCAGGTAGAAAAGTGTGAGGAGGGCCGGGGATGTAGCTCAGTGGCACTGAGCCTGCCTTACAAGTGCAAGGTCCTGAGTTCTATCCCCGGTACCACCAAAAAAAAAAAAAAAAAAAAAAAGTGTGAGGGATGGCAGAGAGGGCTTGGGTGTGGATGTGATCTGCTTCATCTGTATTTCTGCCCTGCAGCCAATCCTGGAATCCTCACTGCTTTATCTGGATTTTGATCCTAGGTGAAGCTCTTGTCCCCATCTTCTATTCTGGACTCAGTTCCCCAGCCCTCCTATCTGGCTGGGACCTCCCTTGGTGGGAACTCGGAGTTTGCCACAGCAGTCTGATATGCAGCATGTGTGGCAGCCGCATTCCTGCCCACCACAGGGACCTCTGATGTTGCTGCTGGACCGAAGCAGAGAGGAAATGCTATGCTGTATACCAGAGGCCCCTCTATGGGGTCAGAGTCTACTACTGGCTCAGTTTCTGCAGGAGCAGATGTTGCATAGGCTTAACACCTTGGGTCTGCAGAGAAATGCTGCAGGAAAACAGCTCCATCTAGTCTCAGAGAAACACTCAGGATTAACTGCGCTGTTCACATTAGTTATTGGTCCACGGTGAGCAGCCGGCACGTAGCGAGAGCAACTGAAGATAGGAAGGAGCTAAAGAGCTGTACCTCTGTCTACCAGCCTGCTGACTTTTAGCAGCCATGTGACCATCTACCTGCATTTCTGCATCTCTTGCCATTAAAAAAAAAAAGCTTTATGCTCACAAACTTTGTTGTCAATGTTTGGTCAATCACATTATACTTCTATGTGTCACCCTTATAGGTGTAAAAACCTGGTGTCGATCCTCCTTTCTCCTGCCTGGCCCCCACTCAGTTCTCAGGTGAATGTACTTGCGTGGATGTTATGATGGCGTGTGCCCCAGGGTGCTACCCACAGTGGCCATCTCTTTCATGACGGAGCAGAACTGGAGGTCGACATCCCAGATACTACACTGTACTCTTTGCTACTTTCCTGCTTTAGTTCTTGTCCCTCTGTATTGCAATTGTTTGCTTAACTGCCTTTATTCTATGCTAAACTCTGAGCTCCGTGAAAGCAGAGGCTATGTGAATCTTATTCACTGTTGCAAGCCCAGCACAGAGCACAGTGTATGGTACAGGTGTTCAGTCAGTGTTTGTTGAATGAATGAATGAATGAATGAAGGCCAAGAATACACTTTCAAGAGTTCTAGGTAGCTTCCAGAATCCCAGCACCCTTGCTTCTGGAGCTGCCATTAAAGATGCTGGCTTCTGTCATGACTGATGGGCAGTGAGGGTTTCCTTTCTTCCTTTCTGGGCAGCCACTCCCAGGACTCAGAACTTTCCCAGTATGAGCCTGCAATATGAGTGCCACACACTCCATACATACACTCCACGCTCCAGGGTGGGTCAGAGTCTGGCATCTCACCGGCTGGAGATTGCCTGTAACCATCACCCTGATGGTTACTGCACCACTCTAGGAGACACCAGAGGAACTACACTTTCAATTTCTATATGAAGGTACTACCGTGTTCCCTTTGCCTTAATTCAGCCCTGGATACCTCACCAACAAAGACTGATTTCTAGGAAGTCTGTGTATAAGGTCTAAAGATAAAGTTGAAAAGAAAGGGAATTATGACTTCAGGTGGCTTATCGCATAGCTAGGCCAGCTCATGGAAAACAAATCTGAGTATCTCAGGAGGAGATAAGCAGAAATATTATCTTCAAGCAATTCAATGTTAGGAGTAGGGAGCTAGTACTTCTGTTTGCTAAATAAAATGGGAAAAAAATTACCCTTGGCTTTGGCTTGTTGTTTAACTAGCGCTTCTTAATGGTTCCTTTTCAAAATGTCACAAAATTATATTCAGTGGACCCTTGAGTTACGACTGGCCTGACATACAAACAGCTTGGGTTACAATCCAAATTTTAGTTTTAATTTAGGAACAAAGTTTTGAGTTATGTATGACCTGAGTGCTGGCTGCTTATGCTTCCAGATAGAAATACCGATTAAAAAAATTTTTTTTGAGCTATGTAGCTCAGGCTGGCCTCAAACTCACTATGTAGCCCAGGCTGGCCTTGAACTCACGGTGATCCTCCTGCCTCAGCCTCCCTAGTGCTGGGATTATAGGTGTGCACCACCACACCCTGGCTCAGATACAGATTTAACCCTGAAAGACTTCTGGAAGGAGCATTACAACATCCTTTCCTGGGTGGGGTTCATTGAGAAATCCTGGGCCGGTGTCTCTAAGGACACTGAGATTTGCCTGTGTGCAAGAGAGAGACTTTGAAGACCGTGTAGAGGAGCCTGAGCCTTCAATTGACCAACCTGAGTTACAACCAGCCCTCGGGAATGAATTGAGTTCACAAGTCAAGGGTCCACTGTATATGTATATATGTGCGTGTGTGTTTGTGTACAGTATGAATAGTGTATATTGTATATGTATATATGTACATATGTACGTGTATATATGTATAGAACTGTGTATTTATTTTTTCCAATGTTGGGAATCAAACTCAGGGTCTCATATGTGCTAGGCAAGTGCTCTACCACTGAGCATAGAGCTCTATCTCTGTTTTTGTTTTTATTATTAAAAATGTTAACATAGTCACAGACACTTAGAAAAAATTCAGAGTATGTATGGAATAAAGCAAAAATTTCTTTTCATTTCTTCCCCTGTTAATAAATGTCAACCCCTTGTTCTTCCTCAGTGATTAGTCATTAAATGTTGGCTCTTCCCCCTCAATCTGTACATTAAGTAAGTACAGTTTAAAGTGCACATTGACAGGAGTAAGTACAATAACAATCATTTTTTCAACTGTTATTGTGTACTCACTGACTTCCAAGTTTAGCCTAATTGTAAACTAAGGATTTAGAAGAGTTGGTGTTAAAACTGAGGCGTGCGGCCTATTAACAACAGAAAGGCAACATGTTTTCCAAGTAGTCACCAACCAGCACAAGCAACTCTAGGGACAAGACCACCCAACTTATGGGGATGGTGATAAACTACCAGAACCAGACGTCTTCAGGGGACATCTCCGATGACAGCACACCCCTGCTTACTCCTCGGAACGAACCGGCCCCCCCCCGCCCAGCCCTCTCAGGAGCTTGCGCATCTGTTAATGGAAAAGCATTGGTGATGTGGGTTCCCATGTGCTGCCCAGGAACAACCTACTAATAACGCCCCTACCACGTGTCATATAAGTATGAAGACAGTGACCAGAGCCAGAGAAATGCTTAGGAGGAGGCTGCCTTGTCTCTCCACACAGGGAACAATGGAGTGGAGAGACAGGGAAGTGAGTACCTTGTTTCTCAGGGCTGGGTCTGCCCCTGCTTCCAGGAGCAGGGCAACTGTTTTAATATTCCTGCTTAGCACTGCCGCATGGAGAGCCGTTGTGCCATTCTAAGAGAAAATGACAGTGTGGGTTAGCAGTGACCAACAGCCAGCAGCACTTGGCTTGGCTTTCATCATAAACCATCTCAGCAATGACACTGCGATGCCTTACTTATCCTCCCTTGAAGTTTCAAAGTCACATCACCACCTAATACTGCGTTCTTAGACACACAGCTGTGGTCAGTAGAAGGACTGCCAGTATTCTTTGGAAGGAAAACATGGAAGCCAGCCCCTAGGGTGCACATGACTTCATGGTCGCTTGGGTGGTTATATAGACTTCAGAACATGCTGCAGAAAAAACAGCAGTGCTGGGCCACACTGTCTTTCTTGAAGTCTTTGCACTTTTGGTGAGCCACTTCCAGCAGGACTGGAGGAACAGCCATGTGGCCAGTGTCCACTGATAGCCAGAAACACTTTGTCCAGAAACACCAGGGCTAGCAGGAGAGACTGTGGAGTTACAGGGCTTAAGGGGAAGTCTGTGGGGTGAGGCCATTTCCCTGAACCCGTTAGATCATATCTGAGCACCGAAGGGCCTAGTAGATGGGCCGCTGACGTTAAGACACTTAGCATAAATGTTTATTGAAATAAGGGAGCAGCTGAAAGCAACATGTAAAAGGGTTCCAGAGAGGAGAAGAGTAACCAAACTGATATAACAACGATGAGTAGAAACAGGACACTGGTTCCAGAAGGTACATAGATCTATAAGTAGTACCCAAAAGCAAACTTGGTATCCTAATTAATGACTCGTAGTAAGAACCACTAGGATTTTTGTAAAAGGATGATGTCATACCCAGAGAAAAGTTCCAGCAAAGTAGCATTTTTCTATGGTTGCTTTCATAATACTTATGGTAATTAACCTGGTAACATTTCAGCAAGCCTAAATATTAACCTATGTATCAACTGCCTATTTGCAACATGGCTAATAAAAAACAAAAGCCAAAAAAGAAAAGACCTGTTAGAAACAAGACTAGATATTGCAAAGTCCATTTCTAAAGCTCCTTCCTTTTGTTCATAGAATTCACTTTTATAGATGATATTTTCTTATTTTATAAAAATTTTTAATAAGTGCAACTTTCTGGTTTTGGCTTCCAGGTTTGTGGAAGGTTAGAAGTAGCTCATGAGGAGAGTGGAGAGGGCCAAGTGTACTGACAACAGCAGCTCTGTATTAGCTGACAGCAAGAATGGAGTCTAAAAATCTAAAGGTATTCTAAAAGCTCTTGGAGTTGCTCAGGGGCGAATAGATTTTATACACATTGATAGACCTGAGGGCACAGTCCCCACACTACTAAGTCACTGTGCCACGTTAGACAGGTGCAGCGCCCTCTACTTAAGAAAGAAGGGGGTGCACATACATGGGGATCAGCAAGCTGTGGCCCACTGTGGTCAAGTCTAGAACACAGCTTGCTTTTGTACATCCTGTGAGCTAAGGGCTGGTTTTGCATTTAAAAATGATTTTAAAGAAGAATAAAGGGAGAATATTTTATTATATATGAAAATATGAAATTTCATAAATACAATGCCCTTAAATAATATTTATGGGGACATAGCCTCATTCTTTTGTTCTTTCTCCAGCTGCTTCCCTGCAACCGTGGCGGGTTGAGCAGCCTCAGCAGAGCCCATACAGCCTGCAAAGTCTGCGACATTTACTGTCTGGTCCTTTATGGAAAGTTTGCTGACCCCTGATGTATGCTATAGCTTAGAAATATTTTGGTCCAAAGTGATAAAAGCTTACCAAAGAGTTTTTAGGCTCTGTTTCTGGAAGGCCCAGGACTTGGGAAAGTCAAATATTCTGAAATTTCCAGGCATTTGTAGCTAATTTTATTTCATTTAAGGTAACTAAGCAGAAAGGTTCTCTGCTCAGCATAAGAAAAAGAAGGCCATAATGGTTTGTTCTTTCTTGATTTCACAGATCTTCCAAATGATACCAATATGGTTTACTTTCTAATTTGCCAATTTCATTTCTATTATCTGGGTTTTTTTTCCTGGAAAATTAGGTACTGATAGACTCTGTTTGCTTTTTTTTTTAACCTTCCCATCTCTGCCATGGGTCTTTAGCAACAAGTTGGAAATGTGTTCCAGTACCATAAAAAAAAAAAAGAAAGAAAAGTAAAAAGAACACACTAACCACGCTGAAAAATGCTACTGGAATCCCCAGTATGGGCTTATCTTCTAACCTATTTCCTTTATAGATTGGTAAAATCTTTCTTTAGGTCTTACCTTCAAAAGACCAAGAGTGGGTGAGAATTTAAGCAACTCTTCTATAACATCATTATACCCCTTGTTGGCTGCTTTCAACAGTGCTGTGGTACCATCCTGAGCAGAGAATGGGAAATAAAAGTTGATTATTCACATATATTTGTGTTAGCTCAGAACAAAAGAGTCAGTTGAGAACTGGCAGCAAAGTATTTGTGTCAGAAACAGGAAGAAGGTGTAATGAAGCACAAATGGGCAATGTCTCCATGTAGGAGCATTTTATAGCATAGTAAGCAGTTAATTTTGTATGAAAGAGTATGAGACACAATATGTGATTGTTTGTATCAGTGGTGGCAAACCTATGGCATGTGTGCCGCAGCAGTGTGTATCACTGACAGCTCTAAAAGGTTCACCATCTCTAGTTTATATGATCTTAGAACCCTGCCATTAGAACCTCTCCAGTCCCTTGGAACACTGGGTCAGAGACAAGGAGAATTCCAAGCGTGTATTTTTAAGGCAATGATGGTCCAAGAGGCATTTTCTGCTGTTATTAATGACTTAGCAAAAACAGTTTAACTCTTTCATGATTTAAACTATTGTTGAACTTGATTCACTGTTTTAAAAATTTATATAACCTTGTAGGGGGAAGAGGGAGGGTAGATTGAAATGTGTTTAAAAAAGAAAAAAAGAGAATGAGGAGGAGGCAGAAGAGGGCAAAGACAAATTCAAATTCAAGAACATTCAGCTTCTGTCATTCTGTCATCATTTTTGGCTCCAGAAGAGTTTTTCTGACTTCCTTTGAGAGTCTCCTGCTTTAATGTACCAGTGCTGTGCGCGGCAAGGCCCTACCTTACCCGCCATTAGGCTGCAGCTTCGCAAGAAGGCAGGTAGGATTAGGGGATTTTTCCTTCCTGGATTCAGAGATGGTGGGAAGAAAGAGAGAGGACAGAGGACAGTGAAGTGGTCCGGCATATGCCTTCAGATTTCTCTCTTCCGGATTTGGAGAGAAGCTGGATTGCATAAGCAAAGGTAAGACAAAGGCAAAGAAGCTGGATACAGGGAGACAACGAGCAAAGAGCCCAGTGTGGGCCGGTTCTCCCCAAGCTGTTCCTAGCTCCTGTGGGCCCAAGGGCCTGCTGTGGGGCCAAAGGAGGCAGTATCAGAGTTTACTGGGAACAGCAGGCATGTGGGGGATGTGTGGAGGGGCGTGCAGCTGAGGAGCAGGGCTGTGGTGCTGCCAGCTGAGACAGCCCCCCGGGTCAAAGAGGACTCAGTCTCCCCAGTCGCTCCAGAAGTCACCGGCGGTGGAGGACAAACAGGCAGCACCACCTGCTAAGTTTCCACAGAAGAACTAGACTTGGCTTTCCGACTAAAGGGCAGGCGGAGTCTGGGAGGCAGCCCAGGCGTGCTGCAGACTAGGTAAACACCCCTCCCTGTGGGCACCGCCGGTTCTGTGGGGCGCTCTGCCGGTGGCCCAGCCTCCCTGTCCCTGGCACTCACATTCCGCGTGGCGTCACGGTCGGCTCCGCGCAGCAGCATCACGCGCACCACCTCGCTGTGGCCCATCTGGGACGCGATCCACAGGGGTGCCGTCCCGTCCTGCGGGCAGAGGAGATGACAGCATGACAGGGTGTCACCCACCCGGCCGCAGACCCACGGGAACACCAGTCTCCGAAGCTGAAACCCTGGGAAAGAGCTTCCCGTGGACACAGCCATTCTCCAGCTGATTCCCACCCGAGTTACCCAGGGAGAAGGAGGGGAGGTTCTCAGCTCCGTGACACAGCTGGAGTTGGCAGTGCCTGCACTTGACTAACTGCCAATGTCCAGTTTTTGGCTTATACATTTAGCCCTTTTAGGCTGGATCTTTAATTCCAGAGTGTGGTATGGAGTCCGTGGAAGGCTGTTGAGAACCTTGCTCCCAGGGCAGCCAAACTAAGCAGAACCAAATTCCACACACCCAGAGAGAAAGACCTGGCTGACTCTACTTCTGCCCCAAATCATGTATTTCTCGGCTGCTCAATGGGGCACCTTCGGTGCTCACCATGTGCCCTGCCCCACAAAGCCCTTCCTGCCCACACAAGAGTGGCCTTTTCCCCTGAGGTGGGGTCTGAGGGTCAGAGAACTCAAGACTCCTACTCCCTTCTTCTCGTGTCCAAAACACCCTACAGCCACATATGCCTTAAGGGAGATTAGGTTCATTTTACATGGAAGGTGATGCAGTTTCTAGGAGGTGACACACACTAGTTAAGCAGGACATTTGGGGCAGCATTTCCTGTGTATTATTCCCAAACGTCCCCGTTTCCATGAACACAAGGACACAGGCTGAGATGATTGTTCCAAAGAGGAAAAGGTGAAATATCCAAAGGATGGAATAGACCTCAAGGTGGCTCCTACCAGAGGGAAGGGAAAATGGAAAATGCTTCTAGAGCAGGAAGGAGAAGCTAGAGAGATGGCTGTCTGTGTTCTCCCTCTCTGGGTTGAATCCGAGGGTGTGGGAGAAGGTGGGTAAGTAAGCTGACTGTCCTAGAAACACCCAGATAATTTCTGGGGAATTCCAGATGGGGAAGGATTTTCTCTACTTCTTAGAATTAGCCCAGGAAAATCACAAGCCCCATAGAAAGGCCCTGAGAGATAGAAGAGAAATGGCGGTGGGAGTTATTTGGGCCAGTGGGCCTGAGACGCCCCCTCATCCCTGTAGCCCACATCCAGCCTGCATCTTTATCCAGGAGCTCCTGTCTCCCTGAGGGAAATTAGAGGTGCTGAGGAAACAGTGCCCTGGAGGAAGCCTAGGCTGGAAAGACAAAGTTACAGAAAAGAGCAGCTTCATAAGTACAGACCAGGGTAACGCCAGTACTATGGCGGACGAGCTGCGCCTCTGGGTACCACTGCAGGGTGCATGGGGCATGGGGACCCATGCAAAGTTCAGCCTTCAGTCTCCCCAATGCTCACCACAATGCAGGGTGACAGTCTGACTTCTGAGAACTTGGGTCACATTGGAGAGAAGGACAAGAGGAGGAAGCAGAATTCAGAACTGGCTAAATTTAACCTCTGAAGTCATTATGGGAATACAGCTGAAACAGTATTTTATCCAGACAAAACTGGTTTATCTATCTGTGGAAAAGGGGCTGAAGACAAAGATGATGCAGTTGTGGTATATAAAGTTACATTTTCTGCTGCAGCGTGTAATTTCAAACCAGTCTGCTAGACAAAACAGGGGCAGGACAAATGTTCACTGCTGTCCTGGCAAAGAGAGAGGACCAAGACTTTTTGAGTGGGGTGGCAGAAGATGACAAATCAGAAGCCCAAGGGTACTGAGAGGCGGTCAGAGGGTTTGGCACCTCTGTCTTGGGAAAACTGAGGTGAAGAGGTGCTGAGATAAAGGCCAGAACATTATAAGAGGCACCTTTTACCCACCTCCTACTTTTTCCAGGGCTTCTTGGAAGTAGGCTTGAACCTGAATATTATTTTACCTTCATTCATACTTTTACTTTACTAAGCACTTCTACATTCTTTTTAAAAATTTAATTCTTCCAATTTATGACTTGATCATTCATTCAAACAAACAGTAATAATTAAGCATCTTCTCCATCTGAGGCAAGAAAACAGAAGACCAGGCTTCTGTTCTCAAAGGGACTCGGTATAAAGGAGAAGAAACGTATGATTGCAGTGCTACTTAAAGTTTGGACATCAAAAGTCCACAGTGAGCCAGGAGGGGCCCTTGTACTGTGTGGGGCTTAGGGTCAGCTGCAAAGATGGGGTGATGCCTGAGCTGGGTCTTGGAGGAGGCCCTGGATTGTCAGGTGCAAAGGGAAGGTCATTTCAGGTAGGTAGAAGGCAGCTCGAGTGCAGCCACAGAGGCTTGGATAGGGATGGCCTGGCAGGCAGGAGAGCTGTCCAGCTGTTATGGAACAGGGTGTGGGCAGGACTTGGAGAGCTAGAGAAGCTGGCTGGGTTCCACCGAGGCCTGAAGTGTTGCCAGGTCAGTTCTGTTTTCTGGGGAGCTCCACCAGAGGGCAGGCAGGGCTGCTTTTCAAGGGCTTGGTTGTTTTAGTAAAACTGCATGTAGAAAAGTGCCAAGATGTCCAACTGGTAACACTTATTACTATTAGTGATTTGTAACAGTAATGGGAACATACAGATCTATTGTCTTAATCAGGATATTCACTCTGGGGGGAAACTAGTCACCGTTCCTGGCTGTGAGATGGGGCAAATGCCTCTCAGCTTTGCATCCTTTTCTGCAAAAACATTAGCCTCAAAGAGATATTATTGAATAAGAAAACACATGTAGAGGTGGTTTGCATCAAGTCTGGTTGACAGATGCTTAGAAAATGTTAACTGAATACTAGTGAGTATCACTTATCATGAAACACATTAAGCACCTTAACCTGTACTTCTGCTCACCAAGTACTTCCACCTGCTTTATTTAATTTGCTTCTCCCAGCGACTCTGAGATAATTGCCTGGAGAGCAGGTAGGAAGACTGGTAAAAGGAGATTTGGGGACCATCTGCATATTGCATTTTTGGTTAGTAGATTCTCCAAATCTACTTTCTGAACCCTGGGAGTCACATGGGAGTTAAAACAATATTGTCAGATAAAGCTATGTATCCATTGATTATCAAGTTGTGAATAGGAGAGGTGTTCCTCTTCCGTGCACCTCAGTTTCTGTTGTCTCTTCCCCCTCTCTTTATAACGGTCTGTGCTTTCATTTTCATAATGAAAATAATGGAAAATGAATCAATTTATCTCCTTTTGGTAGCATTATGGAGAAAATCAGAATGGGCAAAAGCTATTTAAAAATATTTTAAAAGGCTTTGAATACTTCTGGACAAAATAGTTTAAAAATAGATTATGTTAACCAAATCACTGCGAGGTGGAAGTTATAACCTCTGCAGCACTTAAAAAAAAACCAAGGAAATAGAGCATTTAGCTTGGAGAAGGTCAGATTCACAGGGAGGGACACAGCAGCTACTAATTACCACCTGTGTGCATACCAAATGGAAAGGGATTTAGATTTATTTTGCAGACCAAGGGATAAAAAGGCGACTGATGGATGAAAGCCTCATAAAGAGCTGAGGTCAGTGTTAAAAGGAAATACTGAGAGCTGGCTAAAGACTAAGGCAGTCAGATAGTATTGAGTTTCCTAGGCCTGGAGGTGTTCAACAGTGGCCGATTATTATAGAAAGATTATTACACCAGAAGGATGGTTAAATAGGGTGACTTTTGCAGTTCCTGCCAACTCTTATATTCGAGATCCTCTAACATATTCTGTAGGTAGACCACAGCACTAGATGAAGTATATTACATGACCATTGTTAGAAACTAATCTTATATGGGCTTATTTAGGCTCCTCTAAACTTAGGAAAAAATAACTAAAACCATCATCTTCCATAGCAATGGCCTACGAAGTGGCATGAGCTCTTTGCTTCCACTGCCTTAGGCCTGGGATACCTCCATGTGCCAGTCTTGGGGACCAATTCTACCCTAAGTTGGGGGCCCAAGGGATGCAAGGACATTCATCAGTAGCAGATGGGGTTCAACATCAAGACAACTTTTCTACCAGCCCGACCCTAACCTAGAGCCACTGCATTAAGAGTTCTACAGAGATTTAATTATCACAGCAATCCCACTGCAAAGGTACCATTATTGTCTTGGTGTTACAGATTAAAAAAACCCGAGGTTCAGGGAAAGTAAACAACTGTCTGGAGGTCATGTAGTTAAAACTGGACAACTGTGTTTCACTGCCTCTACCCTGTAAGTGCCAAACCCTCCCTTCCTAGAGACTGGCGTCTGGCTCCCCAGCTGCCCGTGACAGTTTTCCTGGGGCTGATGGGCTGCCCATGCGCCCGAGCCCCGCATTTCAAGCTTCCTCTGGTGGCCAGGCCTGGCTCGTTCTGCACTTCAGGCTCCCAGAACTCCTTGCCTACGCCTCGGGGCATTCTCCTCAGTCAGCACACCTCTCCTAAGGTCTCCCCATGCAGGGGGCCTGAGACAGAGCCCTGCCCTCCCCAAAAGCGCAGTGCCTGGCTGCTCCCATCTCCAAACCCTCAGGATACTATTACGGCTCTTCTTTCTCCCACTGCCGCCTCTGGCTTGGTCCTCTGAGCTTGGGACCTGGGAGAACATTTACTATCTGAGTCCCAGCAACTTTGCTTGTCCACAACCGACGGCTCTGTTAGAGTGGGCTTTTTAGGGGGGCTTTCTGTAGGACTTCAAAGAAGCTTAGCACATGAAGAGGATCAGCCAGAGGAATGATGATAGGCCAACCTCAGCTCTGGGTAAACAGAATCAGATCTTTGCCACTCTAGAAAATATTATTTTAACCAGGCATGGTGGTGCATGCCTGTGATCCCAGCACTGAGGAGACTGAGGCAAGAGGATTCTCATGAGTTCGATGCCAGCCTGAACTACATGATGAAGTCCTATCTCAAAAAACCAAAAATAAAAAAGAAAATATTGTTTTAATAAGGTAGCTGAACTGAGTTGGGAAAAAACATATGTCAAGGCATTTGGATGACAGAAAAACCTGACTAAATGGACAGGTAGTGATTAAAAGGTCTGACAACTCTGCTTGGTGAGTACACCCAGAAAGAAATGGAAGTGAGTTTTGACAGTGACCATGGATGTCAAGGATCTCTGTGACTCTTAACTTCTTAACACACCCTGGAAGGAAAATCTTTTCAAACTTTAAATCAAGAACATCGTTGTTCCAATGTCTGACTGTGGCTCGCTTTGTGATTATGATTCCACAGCATAAAGTACAAAAATGGTCTCCATTAATTCTCCATTACAGAGTTACAGGGAAAGTCATTCCTACCACATTTCAGATTCTCTACAGCCTGAATCAAATGTCAGCTGAGTAATTTCAGTGTGACTTTATGAACGTCCTGTCACAGAATACCCTAAAATGTCAGGATCCCAAAACATGGTGGTACAAAATTACAAATTAGATTCACCTATAAACATTAAGAAATGAAACCAGGCAAATATCCTTGTCTTTATTTGGTGAATTCAAGAATTTTCTGTTAACAATTCAACGTCAGCAGAGATTTCAGAACAGAACTGGCCGGACAGTGTGCAGGCCATTTTAATGGAAACTTTTAATTACACTTCTTTTTTAAAAATTTCCTTATAATTTGCAACCAAGTCAGATAGGACTGTTATCACTTTTGTCATTATTTGTATTTTTAATTTTTTTCTTCTGGCACTCAGGACCTTGAGCTTGCAAGGCAGGTGTGATGCCACTGAGCTAAATCCCTGGCCCTTGTATTTTTAAATATTTATGGTATGCGTGACGTTATGTGTTTTGTCAAAGCAGAATTAAGCCAGAAGAGTTTATACTTTTAGAGAAGGCAGGACTTGAACTGGATTGACCTGGCTAGGTAACAGCTTCTAAATATAAACTCATAGCAGATAGGAAAATTGTTTATGATTTGAGAGCACAATCAGGTGAGTGTGCTCTGTGAAAAGGAAATGTTCCATTACTTTTTTCCCCCAGGTAATTCTTATTTTATAAAAAAAATGCCTTCCCTGAATAGTAGTCTTTTTAGAGTTGGACTCTTACCTTTAAAACAACTACATTAAACCAGGCATGGTGATGCAGGCCTATAATTCCAGCACACTAGGAGGATGAAGCAGGAGGATCACAAGTTCCAGCCCAGTGTGGCAATTTAGAATTTGTCTCAAAAAAAGAAAAAAAAGGCTGAGGTGTGAGATGTAGCTCAGTGCAAAGACCCGGGGTTCTATCCCCAGGCCAAGGGGGAAAAAAACCATCTTTGGAAGGACAAGTCATTCAGTTCTTAACCAGGTTATCTTCACCCATGGGCCGGTCATCCACTTTTAAGGTGGGGATAGCAGCTGCAGTGCGTTACAGTTACCACTGGGATGCTGGTTTATTTTTTACCTTCTTGGCTTCAGCATCTTTGTGTGAGTCGAGTTAGGATCAAATGGACATTATCTATGTAAATTTGAAATACCACCTCTTATATGAACTTTTTTGGGGGAGGGTAGTACTAGGGAGTCAACCCGGGGCCTCACTCATACTGGACAGCTGCTCTACCACCGGCTTTATCCCCCAAACTTCCATTTTGAACAAGGTCTTGCTGAGTTGCCCAGGCTAGACTCAAAACTTGCAAGCTTCTGCCTCAGGCTCCTGAGCAGCTGGAATTATAGGCGTGTCCCACTGTCCTGGACTCTGTGTGTGTGTGTGTGTGTGTGTGTGTGTTATAACAAATAATACCTGAAGCCTATGAATGATACAATCTGTTTCACAAATAGATTGGCTAAAGTGCCAGACATTAATTACTTTGGAAGAATGTACTGGTAAAGACTTGATAATCTTGACACTATCTCATGTCTAAGTTTATAGTGGTCTATTTGATAATGGCCTCAACATAAAATTTATAAGCAGCCAATTCCTTTAGTTAATTTTGGCAAAATGAAGTCTCTGATTCATAATCAATCAACAATTTCAAAATAAGGACTGACAAGAAAACACTAAACTCCTACCCCTAAATGTCAGGTTTGGCAGGTCTGACGGCGCAACTTTTTCTAAACTTCTTCTATTCCAAGAGTGTTTCTGAGGCCATCTAACACTAAGAAGATCTCTAAAATCCTAATAATATAGTCTTATAATCACAGCAGTGCCTGGCACATGATAAATGTTCAGGAAATATTGATTGAACATTAAATGAAACCATTTTCAAAACTTTAGGAGCTTGAAGAAATTGTCAGGCTTATCCTGCCCAGCCTCTTAATTCTCAGATAAAGTCCAAGAAAGATCAATTTGCTCTTGATTTTAAAACCACACAGCAAGTTATTATTTTGTTTTATTTGAGAGAAGGTCTCTCTAAGTCCTTAAATTGTTCAGTCTGGGCTCAAATTTGTGATCCTCCTGCCTCAGCCTCCCCAAGTGCTGGAATTTCAGGTGTGTGTCACCACTCTCAGCTCCAAAGACTCTTTCTTTCCTAAGGTTTCTTCTAAGTTTAGGCTTCTGAAGACCTAAGAAGGCTGTGGCCAAGAGCTCAGACCAACATAAAGGTTTCCATAGCTATTCATCATATAAATCTCTGATCAATTATCTGATCAATTACAGTGGGAACTTGCCTGGGAGGCATCACTAATAAGAAATCAGCTTGAGTTTTCTCTAAAAAAAAAAACCCTACCTTTATAATACTATTTATTGTTTTAATCTGAAATGTTTTGTTAAAAGCTAATTAGGGCAGAAGTAATTCCTATACACAAACAACTGATTTTACTGCCTTATTTGTGGAGGGCTCTTGATCCTTCATAAAGTGCTGCCTGAGTTATCTCCCTCCTTTTAGTATCAGTTAATTGATCTGCAGGCTGTTGGTAAAGGAAGTCTCGATCCAAGAGCTGAAGGTGCAGAACCCACTCATGATGCCAAGGGCACCAGCTCCTGCTAGGTTTGATGGAAGAGGTGGTGGGAGTGATACGGACAGCTAAGTTAGGTAGAAATATTGTAGGCAGTCAGGCAGAGCTAGGCCCTCGAGGGAGTCAGTGCAGAGAATGAGAACGCATTGAAACTATTGGGGCCGGGGATTTAGCTCAGAGGTTCTGCTGTTTGCCTCGAAAGCGCAAGGTCTGGAGTTCAATCCAGCACCCAAAAAACAAACAAACAAAAAAACAAAACTGTGGCTGATATCCATTGGTTGTCAGGCCTCAAGCTAAAGATGAAATGCCTATATATCTCTGAGGGATAAGCAAAAGCTTGAGTACCACCCTTTTGAGATCTATAAATAAACCATTATCTCATTAAAGATGGGCCATGTTTTTCCCACCCACTAAGACTAAGACTAAAGCTTCTAAGGATTATTGATCAAAGTTAATAATGTCATCCATGTATGCTTGCTACACGACTTGCTTCATCACTGGATCAATATTACCTAAGTGACTGTACTTGTCATCCTATTGGTTGATCACAGTTTTGTCCCACCTTGTACCCACCCCTTGATTTGCTCTATAAAACCCTATAAGTGGAATCTGCAGGAACCCATTTTCCAGGTCCCCTCCTGTCTCTCTCAGGAGCTGTCTCTCCCTTGATAAAATTTCCTACCCTTCACCTCTTCCTCAGAATTCATTCTTTGATTTTGGGAACACGAACTCCAGTGAGGAGATAAGGCAGCATATCAGCCGGCTGGGGACTGGGCAGGGCCTTGCCTCTATTTACCTATGTCCCAGGCCAGCCAACACTTCTTACTTCAGTGCAGCCATAATTTATTTGAACAGGAGGTGGCAGAATGTGTACTTGACCTCAGACTCCAAACACTCAAGATTCAACATTGTGATGTCAGCTCGCTTTTGTAGCCTTGCTGGTGACTCCAAAGCACAGAACAAGACAAACCTTTCAAAGATTAACTTTTCATGGCAGAGGCAAAAGGGTTTGAGGATGCCAGGAGCCGCTGGTTATCTCAGGCATGTGCTGCTAGGGGGCACCAGCCCTCCCTGCCTCACACCCTCGGCTGGAGCAGAGCTCACCAGCGCACATTACCTGCCTTGGTTGGTTGACTTTTGCTCCTGAAGACAACAGTAATCGGATGACATCCAAGTAACCTCCTTGGGCAGCTAGAAAGAGGGCAGTGGCTCCATCCTGGGAGGTAACAAATTAAGTGTTCAAAAATCGTGTCATGTTTAAGAGAAATTAAAAATGTAGATTCTAATATAATTTTCCATTTCCATCCCCTCTTAGGTTTCTATCCTTTTGTCAATTAAGAACTAAGTTTTAGATTTAAAAAAACAAACAAAAACCAAATACCTCAAACCTAGTTTGTGTGTTTTTATAAATTAGGAGTGACAGTGTCCTTTCACTTAACTCTTCTGTCTTTCATGCTCTCTTACCCCTGTCCCTCAGTGTGCAGTGTTCCCAAGTAGTAAAAGGCACAATGGCCTGGGTATGTGGCTCAGTGGTAGGGTACTTGCCTAATATGTACAAGCCCTGCTTTGATCCCCAGAACCGCAAAAAAAAAAAAAAAATTACAAATAGAAAAAAAGAAAGAAGCATGATGTGATTAGAAAAACTGCCCTAGAAGGAATGTCCAGGAAGTCTCTCTCTGCAGCTACCAACCATACCTATAAACCCAAAAGGCAATCTTCTATAAAGCCAAAGAAGTGCTACAGTTGTCTTGAGTTTTTCTTTTTAATGGGGGTCAATGCCTTCTGGGCATTTTTCTCTTGGGAACAGGTCACTTGGTGGTTTCAGCAATGTACTGGTCAGCTGAGAGCATTCATTCCCCCGGATGCTCACTTCATCCAAAAGCACAGCAAGCATCACTGTTTTTAGATGGTGCTAGAAAACCTGAGCACAGCCTAGTGGAAAACACCCACTAACTACTGTACTTCCCACAGGGAAGGCGGACCACAAGTAAAACACCTTTCCCTGCACATCCAACCTGGCGTGTCATGTGGAGGGTACTGGATTTCCGTGGGTGGCTCTTTCTAGTCAAGCTACACAAACATACACTAGTGTACACTCTCACATATACTTCACCTATACATAGCCAAAGAAAGAGCCAAAGCTTGCCTTGTGTTTCTTAGGCTTGGCCACATTCAGAACCACCTGTTGCTCAAGTGTGACCTTAGAGATCCCAGTTTGGTTGCTTGGAAATCGATATTTTTTGAAGTTCCCCAGATACTTCTAAAGGGTAGCCAGAGTTGAGAATCACTACTTGAGATCATTGTCAAGTCAGTCATTCCATGAGTACTGCTGCCCACTCAAAGAGGTTGTGGATTTTGCAGTACAGGGGCCAAGGCAAGTTGTTATGGACTTCAAAGGGCCTGTGATTTGTCAGAGTTAACTAGGTAAACCCTGGAAAGGATATTCAAATGAAAATGCTCATGCCCACACAGCTCATTTCCTGGCTATGAAAGCATAGTGCCCTAGGCATAGGGCTACTCTAGTTGTAGGATAGCCTAAAATGTGATTCCTAGATAATTTTAAGTAGAAATTCTTCCCCTTCTCTCCATGAAACTGTCAAGTTAGCTCATCTCTCCATTTGTAATTTTTTTTCCTACAAATTGGAAGAACATTTGCCATAAATCCCATGGAAGTACAGTGACAATTAAAAGAGCCCTTGGGCGACATTGCCAATTAGCTGCAAATAGACCCACAGTAGCTGTGGAAGCCTTTCAAAGGTCTACACTACAGTGTACATATGTTTCATGAGTCTTCATCCTTCAACCTCACTTTTTTCAAACACACTGATTTTTCCTCTTTGTGCTCTTCCTCACAAATAACTCTACAACAGGAGAGTATATTTTGGCTTTCAGCAAGTCCATATGCTGGGTTGTGTGGTTTGCCATACATACATATGAGTTCTAAAGACCTTAATTGCATAGGTGCTTGAAATGTCTCAGACATACAACAATAAAAAAAGATAGCAAAGATGGGTAAATGTTATATGGCTTCTTTATGGCAAAAGCTCATCTGGTCAACTAGGTCTTTTCTCCTGGATGTCTGAGATTCAAGTTCCACTGTTCATCAGAATGTTTTTCAAGTTGGCATTTCCAGCCTCAGTGTGATGAAGGAAAGAGTGTCCCCTGAAGGTCCCCATGAAACACACTCACGTAAAGGTGATCATGGATGTTGGCTCCATGCTTCAGCAAGGTCTCCACCACCTGCCTGTGCCCATACTGACTGGCAGCCAACAGGGCAGTGCCCCCATCCTATGGACATGAAAGTATAAACACGTTGGAGGGAGTGCAGACACGTATTTCACCAAGCAGATGCTCCTCATGGAGCCAGAACTTTGGAAGAGAATTTTCCCTAGCTGCCCTTGACCTCTCTATGTAGGCCATGGTGGTCTTGAGTTTGTAGCGATCCTCCTGACTCAGCCTCCCAAGTGCTGGGATTACAGGTGTGTGCCACCATTCATTCGGGGTCCATTTTAAGGACATGATTATGTTTTATACTTGGATGACTTGCTACAGATACTGATTCAGATACAGTTATTTCACCAAGTTATTGTGAGTTAGAAATTTCTCATACCAAATGCAAATCATCTATTTGCCTCTCATGGGGAAACAGAAAACAGAAAGACTGTACCAAGTCTTCTCATTTCCAACTTGGCTTCTCCAGTGGCTTCTGGACAGACACCCTTTTGAAAAACATTGGTTCCTTCCTCTGGTGCCACTGAGTTTAAGGTGCTTGTGTGGGGTAACACTCTGAGGCCACTGCTTTCAAGGGTCCAGATCTGCTTCCATCAGGAGATGGCAGGTAATGACAGCACATGCCGTGTGCCCTCTCTCTGTCCTACTCATTATTTTTCTCTGAGCATGTGTGAATTTGTCCAGGTCTCTTTTAAAAAAGTTTGGGCCCTAAAAGTAGTAGGGTATTGTAAAGTAGGTGTGCTCTGATGTGGAGTGGGCTATCTCACTCTTCCTTCTACTCGACTTTATCTCTGCAGCCTAAATTAGAATTAGCTCTCATGCCAACCACGTCACACTATTGGCTCATTGAGTTTGTGGTCACTGAAAATCATGAATGCTTTTATGCCTAGTGCTCCATTTTTGGAATACATAACAATGGAACAGAATACACATTTTTCTCTTCAAATTCTTGTTCCTTGACTTTTTCTAGGCGAAAATATATATAAATTTTGTGCAAAAAAATCTCAAAATTTGTGACTTCTGGTTTAAATGGGTTAGTGGTCTTTCTCAAGTGTACAGGGCATTATTTCTCCCTTTGTAGGATGGCTGGGTTTTTGGCTCTGTGGCCATGTAAGCTAATCTTAAATAATTCAGGAACATTAAATCTGGCTCAAAATTATGAATCATAAATATTACAGTGCGGTTTCTAAATTGGGAATGGTGTTTTTGTTCAACGAGAGCTCTCATTTCAGAGGGTTCAGTAGCTGTGGGATGGGCCCCAGAAATCTGCCTTTGACCAGTCATGTGGGGACATTAGAGTAAGCAGGTGGCCCCACCAGTCAAAAAACTGCAGGAAGAATTCTTGAGTTCATAGTGTAGGGAAAGGTGGGGGACAGGCAGGCAAAGGTAAAGGGCCTCAGTGAGGTTTCTGGCAAATAGAGTTAAACTCCTGCTCAAGACAGTAGCTAAGAAAAACAGAGCGCTGATAAGGCCTGGCTCACTTCATGCCAAGGTTCAATTCCCTCCCCTGCCCACCTCCAATTAAACACAAAAAGAAACAAAGTGGAGAGGGAGCTATATTATAGGGAAAAACTCACTTAGTACATAAAATACACACTAACACTAGACACACACACACATATATGTGTACATAGATATTTTGTTGTTTTCTCACCATATTCATACACTAAAATGTACATATGTCTCATTTTTGCTAACTTGTCCTTGAATGTGGGGCTCTACTTTTAAAATCTCACAAGATGAGCCCTTGGACAGACAGCACAAAGGGACCATAGAAGTGCTTACCCAAGAATGTGCATGTAGGCGATGGAAGGGACAATGGTCAAATCAGGGGTCTCAGAGCCCAAATAGCCAACCAAGTTATGACAACTCTCAAGGGGGACAGTTCCTTTCTTGCCATGTAATAAAAGGGGCTGAGAACAAAGACCCCCACCAATTCCGGCTCTGGACTCCCTACCTTCTTCCGACAAGGTAGCTATCTATCTCCTTATTTTTCTCCCTTTTTCCAATCAAGAGATTTTGTTTTTCCTTCTGAACTTATATCTCCAATTCTGTGATTGATGTAGGGTTTTTTTTGTTTTTTTTTTAACCCCAGATAAATATCTACCCTCATGAGAGGAAACAGTAGATAGGCAGCGGACATCCTGGGTGACAAAGAGCAGCTGGAGGAGGGCTCCCCAGGGGGTGGCCAGATAGTGGGGAAAGTGTTGAGCTGGGCCTTGAAGGGGGAAGCAGAGGACAGGGACTGAAAGCTGAGGTTGGTGGGGGCATCAAGCATCTGCTTCACAGCAGCAATGGGCACCACTGTTTCAGAGCTTTGTCCAATCACTTTTCCTAGCTTTTTGCCTAAAAAGGTAACAGAATAGTAAAAATAATTAGGATAGAAGAATTTCTCTTATCATTAAAAACACAATTTTAGACTATAATTTTTATAGATTTAATCATAAAGAGAGGAATTGCTGAAATGAAATCCCTCCCCCCCGTTTTTTTTTGTACCGGGGATTGAATTCAGCACCTTGCGCTTGCAAGGCAGGCGGCAGCTCCACTGAGCTAAATCCCCAGCTCAGAAACAAAATCCATTTTTTTTTTTTTGTAGTGGGGATTGAACTTGGGACCTTGAGCTTGCAAGGAACAAAATCCATTTTGATGACAGGATAATATTAAAATTCACAGCCTCTTGACACTCTCTTCTTCCCAGAGAAGTGACACCTGTTTCTCGTAGGCACCTGCAGCTGACCTAATGGAAATGTGCCGCATTGCTTATCCTGGGCCCTGTGTTCTGTGGGTTTCTGGGACAGCAAAACTGGCTCCTGTACAAAGGCTCTAAGTCAGTATTAACTTGTTAACCAAGAGGACAGAAGCAGCCGTGGGGTAACACAAGATCTCATGGATTTAGCTCAGGAAGTTGAGATTTAGTTTCTTAAAGTTTTCTATTTTTACAGCCATCATTTTTATATTGAAAAATAAAATACTAACAAAATATATTTTATATTACTGTAAATTATACTCTATATTTGGAGGCAGGAACACTTTCCACCCACAGGGTTTAGAAAAGACAGAAACCCTGTATGAAATTCAGATTTACATAATAACATTTTAAACAGAAAAAAACAAAGCCTACCAAAAAGTCTCTTAACATCTAAATATCACATACAATAGATAAGAAAACCTAAAAGTTTCCAACTTGACAAATTTTCAAGAACTCTTTTTTTTAATGATTAGACCAGAAATAACCTGATGATTACAAAACTCTTAGGGAAGTTCACATTCTCCTATTATAAAACATTGTGTAAAATTATGAACACAAAGTCGATCTCTATGCCATCTTGGCTTTCTTCTCTATATGTCAAAAATGAAGTGGGAATGGTGGTACATGGCTGTAATCACAGTTACTCAGGAGGCTGAAGCAGGACGACCACTTCAGGCTGGCTTGGGCAGTTTGTTAAAAAAAAAAAAAAATGAAAAAAAGAGCTATGGATGTAGCTCAGTTCTGGAGTGCTTGCCTGGTGTGCATGAAGCCCTAGGTTTAGTCCCCAGCACCACAAAAAAGAAAAAGAAAGAAAATCAATAACTTCCTTAAAGAAAGAACCACATTACCTTGCCCAACTATATAAACTGTAATTATGTATTATATATTTCAGTGAGGATAGCTTATGAAAACAAGCTGCCTGCCAAACCACCATCTCTAGAAATCTCTCGGATTCCCCAGGATCAGATTAATACTTCCAACAATTCTTATTATAGTGTTGGGATTAGACTTCAAATAGAACAAAGCACATGGGAACAGGGAAAGCCAGAGAGCCACTTGCTGCTGTACCCTCCTTGCTTAAAAAATTTAGTGTTCCAGTATAGAAAGCAATCAGTACAAGAGATTCCAAGAAATTCCCCATGAAATTCTCCAGTTTTGTATCCAAAACAAAACTGTCTGGTTTTTTTTGGATCCGGGGATCGAACTTGGGACCTTGCACTTGCAATACAGGCAGTGGAACTACTGAGCTAAATCCCCGGCCCCTAGTCACTTTAACCATTTTTATGTTTTGTTTTGTTTTTGTTTTTTTGGTACCAGGGATCGAACTTGGGACCTTGCGCCTACAAGGCAGGCGGCAGAACCACCTGAGCTAAATCCCCGGCACCAAAACAAAAATGTAATGTTTGGAATGGAATACCTAGGACTCTCCTGAACCATCCCAGGTAACCTTGTGAAATCTACTTCCTTAGGCTTGAGAATCTTGTAAAAGGGGAAGCACAACTTTGTACCACAGATGAGGAGAAAATTGATAGCTGTGGCTGCTGAAATCCTCCAACAGGATATGAAATCAAGAAACTTTTCTTACTTTGGTCCTACATTCAGTAGACGCTCCGAATCCAAAGAGAAATCTCACAACGTCATTATGACCTTGCTGGGCAGCAAAGAACAGGGCAGTTGTACCTGACTGGAAGAGATGGAGAGGCTGGCTTTAAGACATTTAATTAAAGTACAATTGACTTATACATTTTCAAAGAATACAGAAACAATATTCCATATATAACCTTCAAGCCTAGGAAGGAACTACATCTAAACCAATTCAGTGTTTTGACAGGACGAAAGGAAAACTTTATTCTTGGTGTAGTAGGATGCATGGTGGTATCTCAAAGGATAAAGCCTTAATTCCTCAGTCTAACTTCAGGGTTTTGTGGAGTTTATCTTTGGTTGTCTGGTGGGCCCTAACTCCAATGACAAATGTCCTTATAAGAGTGAGAGAGATGCCTCATTCACAACAGCTGGAACATGGAAGCAATGGGAGTGTCTATCCATGGAGGAATGTATAAGCAAAATGAGGGCTACAGATTATTTAGCGTAAAAGGGAAGTAAATTCTGAATATATGACAACATAGATGAACCTGAAGACATACTAAGAGAAGTAAGCCTATCACAAAAATATGGTAGGATTCTGCTCTGGTAGCTATCTTTTCTTTTTCAGTACCAGGGATTGAACTCAGGACCTTGCGCTTGTGAGGCAGGCGTGGTTCTGCTCTGGTATCTAAAGTAGTCACAAATCATAGAACCAGAAAGTGTAATGATGGAGCTGGACAGTACAAGGACTGGAGGTGGGAGAATGGGGAGCTCCTGTTTAATCGGTGTAGACTCTCCACTTTACAAAATGAATTGAGTGGTGATAGTTACACAATATTGTGAACATATTTATGCCAATGAACTATATACTTAAAAATGGTTAAGATGGTAAATTTTATTATGTGTATTTTACCACAACAAAAATAATAATAGTAATGAAAAGAATGAAGGGGAGGGATATTTGATACAAAGCAACATGACCACAGAGGCAGAGGCTGGAGTGCTGTGGCCACAGGCAAGGAATCCTGCAGCCACCAGAAGGCAGAAACAGCAAAGAATGATTCTCCCCTGGTACCACCCCTGGAGGGGGAGTGTGGCCCTGCCCACCCCTTGAATTTGGACTTTTAGCCTCCAGATCTGTTAGAAATTAAATTCCTGTTTATTTTAATCTACACAGTTTGTGGTGGTCTGTTACATCAGCCACAGGAAACTAGTATATTTGGCATAAAGTTTGGAAAACAGTGGCATTCATTCATATAGGGAAGAATTTTGGTTTCAAAACTCCGTAGAGGGCTGAGGATGTAGCTCAGTGGTGCTGTGCCTGCTTGGCAAGCACAAGGTGCTGAGTTTGATTCCCGATACAAAAAAAAAAAAAACTTAGTAGAAAGAGTACAAAGCTAGCAGTGTAAAGATGAACCTAAGCTGTTGCATGCCTGTAATCTCAGCACTCTGGGAGGGTGAGGCAGGAGAACTGCAAGTCTGAATTCAGCCTGGGCAATTTAGGAAGACCCTGTCCGAATGTAAAAAATAAAAAAGTGCTAGGGATGCAGCTCTGTGTGAAGGCTCTGGATGTAATCCCCAGTACCACAAAAAAGAAAAAAATCTAAATAATTCTCCCATTGGAGCTCAGTATGAAAATGGGCTCAAAATATTTCTCCAGGGCTGGGGATTTAGCTCAGTGATTCTGCTGCCTGCCTCGCAAGCACAAGGTCCCGAGTTCGATCCCCAGTACCAAAAAAAAAAAAAATTTCTCCAAATTGGGATTATTAACAACACCCTGCTTCCACATTTTCAACCCATCATGCTATATGGAGACATGACTCTTAGCATCCTTGGTTCCCAGCCCTCCACTTTTATAAGCACCCCTGCCCTCAAGACTGGTGCCCAAGTCTTCGTATCACACAAGAAGAATCACCATCCCACATTTTTGAACAATATACATTTTCCTACAAAGATGTTCTTCTCTTCCATACTTTGAAGCCAACACTACACTTTCCCAGGCACAGTGAAAAGAAAACCCTCTTCCCACAGCTCACCTGGAGCTGTGCAGGTGGGAGGTTCTGACTCAGGCATGAGAGGTTGAGGAGAGGAGGTCCTATGGGCTACACTGACTAAAGCTTGCTCTTGAGTTTCCGTGTCAAGGAAGAAGCAGTGAGGCCCACACTGAGGCGGAACAGCTACCACCTATGCCCCAGCAGGAAGAGGTGACAAGACCATTCACAGAGCCTTTCTGTCTGTGATGAGAAATAGCTTTCTCCTTGGTTCCCACAGACACAAATGGGAGGAGGGCCCCATTGCTCTCTCATGTGTGGAGGATGCTGGGCTCCAGGACGTACATAATCAGGTCTGGATGAAGAAACCTGGGCGGAACAGGGAAACTGTCACCTTAATAAATGATCAGTTTTAGAAACTAATAAGGAAGTTGTTTCTTGGTGGAAAGAAAGGAATTATTTTTCAATAAACTTCTCGATCTGTTTGAGCCAATTTTTAGATTACATACTATCAATCATTATGCAAATGAATACAGCAATCCGTAGCCAACAGAATCTAGACTTCAGTATAGAATGTGAATAAAAGTCTTGAGTGCATGTACTTTACTACTGAAATCCAGGGCTTCTTGCCAATTGCATTTGCAGCTCCTGGGCCTGGGAGTTACAATCACCACTATTTCTGGTTGTCTATAGCAATAGCCTTTCAGGATCATTAGCTTCAACTTTGCTTCTCTAACAAGCTCTGTGTATCTAGATAGCCAAGCCATGAAAATAAGGACAGGTACTTTTTCAGGAAACAAATATTCTGATACTTCAAAATGGGTTAACAGTTTTAAGTTTTCTGCAAGAGTAAGTTCCAAAGTACAGCAAGGCATTCTTGTTCAGCTTCCAAAATGGGTGAGTGAGGTTGATTTCCCTCTGGTTTTCCTACGGCTCTGGATTGGTATGGTCTCAGAAAATTCAAGTGACTGCTGAAAACAACTTAGCACTAACATTTAAGCCAGAGCTGAGTACACTTTGTTGTCTTTGAGGGCCACTGTTCTCAATGCATAAGACTTTTCATCTTCAAAATTAGTTGAGCCATTGTAATGAAACAGATAAATATAAACCATACACTGGCTAGAAATCAATTGGTTCCTTCTTCTCCCTGGTCTTTTCAGTTGTTCTAAAGAGATTTTTGTGCACATTGGAGCTGCCCTTTGGGATAATGTTTTTGAACATGCAGACCTGAACCATATTGTTTTTATTAGAGAAAAATCTGTCTTTGCTTTAAAGTTTTAATAAGGATCAGAAGGCAGAGAGGAAAAAGAAAAAGATGAGGGTAATTTTAAGTTATAATTCTAAATGTGTCCAAAGATTTTCCTTCCAGAGTGAAATTAATTGCTGAAGTGAAAAATAAAATGATTTAGTGTTATGGAAATCGCTCAGATGAATCTGTTAGAAGATTAATTTTGCTACAGTCTCTCTATCCTGCTCTGCTGAACTAGCCTTTCTGAAGCAGGCCTGCAGGGAACCAAACCCCAGAGTCTGTCAGGCAAGAGTCACTCTTTCCTGGCCCAGAGTCAAGGCCTTCATCACCCAGGGAGAGAGAGGAGGGAGTATTGGATACATCCTGGAACTCTGGACACAGTCCTTAGTCCTACTGTGTCTTAACTTGCTCCACTTAGGTGTGATAGTAAAACAGGGCAACAGGGTGAGGGCACTCCCAGGAGAAGGGATACCCCAAATACAGCAATGTACGCAGATCACTATGCACAGAACCAATCAGAAAAGTGCTATTTTGGACCAATGAGAAACTTGCCATTTTCAATCCTTTATTTGACTCTGGTGCTGTTCATTTGCATGTGGGCACAACCAATCAAAAGACACTATGATCATTTACATGTAACAGGAAGTCTGATCAGTTTTTTGATAGGACAGTTTATACATGGCATGATGCCCAGTGAGTGGTAGGATGACTTTCCCAATGCCTGATTTGCATAAAAGAGGAATAATCTGGGAATTTGGGGCACAACAGACCCCTTCTCCTATCCTTGGGCCACTGTGAGCCTTTTCACTGGCTTACTCTCACTTTGCAGAGTGTACTTCTTTTCTGCTCTCAGCAAATGTACACCTTCATGGCCTTTTCTGTGTGCATTGTCCAATTCTTTGTTCGGGACACCAAGAACCTGGAAAGAAGCCCCACGGGACTCTCCAATTGGTTAAAGTGGTACAGGTTAGAAGGATGGGTGTATTTGCTTGGCATAAGTTTGGCTAATGAATCATCTTTCTGAAACAACAACTGTAAGATAGACCCTGGGACAAGCCTGGATCATGGAAAATCAAGTGCCCAGACTGATTTAAAGTATGCTGGGGCCAAGGATTTAGCTCAGTGGTTCTGCCGCCTGCCTCGCAAGTGCAAGGTCCCAAGTTCGATCCCTGGTACCAAAAAAAAAAAAAAAGATTTAAAGTATGCCCAATGCCCATCTCAGGGCTGTGTCAGTGGGAACTGAGAGGTCACATTCACTCTTGAGATGAGCAGAGCACCAGTTCACAAAGGCTGGCTTACCAGGTCCTAGGTCAGCCCAGAAATCTATGGAGCCTTCTCAGACCTTGTTATGGCTGTGTCTAGATATCCCCCCAAAGCCACATGAAGTCATGGATGGGGTTTTTTCAGAGGTGGCTGGATCTAGAGTGTGTGATGCTGGCGTTGATTCAAGGTGGAATGCTAGGCTCAAGGGCACTAGGATTAAGGGTGTGAGTGCTATGTGCCCTAAGTAGCCTGGAGAAGATATAAGGGAAAGAAAGAGATGTGGGCATCCCTTGTTGCTTTGGTACCTTCTGCCATGAACTGTTTCTCCTTAGCCATGCCACCCTGCCTTGGAGCCAGCTGATTATGGACTGAAACCTCTACAATCTGTGAGCTAAATAAACCTTTCCTCCCTTAACTTTGGATATTGGGTATTTTGTCTCAACAACAAGAAAAGTAACTAAGACAGACCTGAACCCCAAGTACATTAAAACATACCAGCCTCCCTACTGTTTTTCAGGGTTGGATCAAGAATGGGTCCTCTGATGAGATCAAACTCCCATGCTGGCCCCTGAATGACACATGGGCACAGCTCACATTTTAGTACAATGTTTACCCACATGACCCTTTGAGGACATCATTTTTAATGGCCATGCAGAGAAGTTCTTTGAAAACATGTTGTGTTAAGGAAGACTGAGATGTCCTAGCAAGTGAGCTTCATTACGAGTAGGCTAGGGACTAAACATATAATCGTCTCCAGGAAAATCCTCTACGTTCTATAGCACCTCACCCCAAGGGAAGAAAGAACTGACTGACACTTGTAACAAAATGCATGAGTGTTTAAGGAATGTGGTAAGAGGTTTGGTTACTTACATGGTTTGAATGTGTCCTACAAAGTGTGCTGGAAGCTTGGTCCACAGTGTGGTGATGTTGAGGTGGTAGAACTGCTAAAGGGTGGGCAGTCCAGGGGAAGGTAGTCACTGGTGGGCACTACCTTGGAAGACTAATGCTGGTCTCATGGAATGAATTAGTTCCCACGAGAGTGGGTTGTTATAAAGCAAGGCCAACCCACATACTCAGTTCCTGCTGTGTCACTTTCAGCTTCTCTGCCATGTTATGATGAAGCCAAGGTAAAGCTCCTCAATCTCAGACTCTGAGCCTTTAAAAGCCAGAGAAATATACCTCTTTTCTTATATTAAGTACTAGATCCCAGATATTCTGTTACAGCAACACAAAATGGATTAATGTGGTTACCTCGGATATTTCCTTCAGTGGTCTAACCTGGACTTTATCTTAGGCAGCATAAACCCTGCAATGAGCTTTAAGGAGAAAAGAAATGGTGACTTTTGTCCTCATTGCCAGTTCATAATTACAAGGGCTTCACGTTTCTTAGCCTGGTCACTTTGATTCAAGTGCTCAACCTGACCTACCTCTCTCTGGAGGTTGATGTCTGCTCCCTGCAGAACCAGCTCCCTCACACAGTCGATGTGGCCAGCATAGGAGGCAACCATGAGGAGCGTGGTGCCATGCTGGATGGAGGAAAGACAGACGAACAGTTAGGCCCTCGTTATGTCAGAGGGAGGGGTCCTGGAGGAGGGAGAACAGAGATGTCACCTCATCCAGAACATGTCCAAGTGTCAAGCTTCCTGCAGTGATAGAAGGGCCTCATGAATAATCCTATAATGCAGACTGGACAGAAAAAAGCAAATCAGCAAACTGCTGAGGTTGGAATTTTCAATTTACAAATTCATTTCCATTACCTTCAGAAACACAGTCCAAGATAGCCACAGTTACTGCATTTTAAGGAGGCAGTGCTAAAATGTTCTCATTTTATGATTCACATTAAAAGATTTTGAAGCCAAAATATTGTGATTAATGCAAAAACCAAATTGGGCCAAATGGTACTAGTTGGTTTTCTATGTTTAGAAGTCTTTTAAATTTTTTTCTAATTTTCACTTAATTTAAAAAATCTAAACTTAGAAATCTTTGACTTCAAAATGATTCGGGTAAGGGCAAACAGCACTGTGATGAACTGAGACTCCAGAACTGACAGTCTGGGCCTGTTGAGGACAGGCCCACCTATAGAACAACTTGGGGGAAGTTGCTTGCAATTACTGGGATCCATTTATTTCATTTTTAAACTGAAAGCCTGGAGGCAGTGGTCACAAAGGTCTCTTCTAGCTATGAGATACAAGGACTTGGGGTTATTGGTGTAACTCAGCGGTAGAACTCATATGAAAGGAAGGGAGGAGGGAGGGAGGAAGAAAGGAAGGAAGATTCAAGGACTTGAGATGTACCATATGATATAGATTCTTCTAATTAAGAGAAACTTTTATAGCTTAATTTATGGTTGCTTTCAAGGGCTTCAAATTGCAACATTAGCCATCACTTTTGCTTATTTAGCAACCTGCCTCCCCAGAGTGGATGACAAGAGGGAGATTCTGCAAAGAAGATGGCTCATCAGGCAAAAGGCCATGAAGGGAATTTTAGAGGCTTTGCTTGTTGTTTCGATCTGGCATATTGTGTAGGAAGGTAGTAGTAGAGTTGTGTAGTCATTGAAAGTATGATCTTGGGCACGTTACGAAATTTTTCAAAGTCTGATCCTCTTTATCTGTAAAAACTTTTTAAAATTTAAAAAGTATCTGCCTGATTAAAGTAGCAAAGAAGATTTAGGCATTGTGGTTAGCATAGGGATGTTAGATATTAGTTCAGTAGATGTTGGATCAGTAAATGTTAAGTCATCATCTGTTTTTTGCTGACTTCTGTGAATGGCCACACTTGCTTTGGGAGCCTTATTTGCTTCATATGCAAAGTACAGTACAGAGTCATGAGAGCCAGTGGCTTCCTAGTGGTGCTTATAATCCTTCTACTCCATATGACCCTATCTGGCATTACAGTCTGTTCCAGAGACTGTAAATCCATTACCCAGTTGAACTCATACCTCTGTTCTCTCCAAGATCAAGTGATAAGCTTAGTATCACTAATCTCTTCTTGAATATGAGAAATTTTTATTTAGATAGCAGATAGGAGAACCTTTGGTGGTTTTGCCCGAATGTGTCCCTCAAAAACACACTGGCCAGGTGTGGTGGCACAAGCATGTAATCCCAACAGTGAGGAGACTAAGGCAGGAGGATTACAGGGAGTTTGAGGCTAGCCTAGACTACATAGCCAGACTCTGTCTCAAAAACAAAAACAAACAAAATTTCACACTGAAATCTAATCCCCATTGTAGTGGTAATAAGAGATGGGGTCTTTGAGGAAGTGACTAAGTCATGAGAGTTTTGCCCTTGAGAACTGACTGGTGCCCTTACTAAAGAAGCTGAAGGAAGTTCCTACTTCCCTTCTACCAGATAAGGATGCACCAACAGGTCCCTATCTATGAGCAGAAAGTGAGCTTTCAAATCTGCTGGCGCCCTGATCTTGGATTTTCCAACCTTCAGAACTGTAAGCAATACATTTCCACTGTTTATAAATTACCCAGTCTAAAAAATTTTCTTAAAGCACCCCAAATGGACTTAGACAATTGGTTTAGAGCCAGTCTAGCTGGGTATGACGGTGCACACCTATAATCCCAGAACTCTGGGAGGCTGAGGCAGGATTGCAAGTTTGAGCCCAACCTGGGGAATTTAGTGACTAAGTAAGACCCTGTCTCAAAATAAAAAATAAAAAAGGGGTGGGAATGTAGCTCAGGGAAAAGGCCATGGGTTCAATTCCTACTATCAAAAAAATAAAGTAAAATAAAGCCAATCTAACTATATAAGCTATGAATATATATATGAATATATATCCTTCCACACAAGAGGTGAGAAAAACATTTTTTAAAAAAAATCATGGGTCATGTTGGTCTCAAAATCAATAATAAGCTAGAGGAAGCACAGGAAGTACAAAGCACTTAATTTGGATATTTAAAAAAGAAAAAATGTTAGGCTCATCTGTTTTAAAGAAAAGATGAATTGAACAACAATAATACTTCTTCAAGGATTATATTTCAATTCTATACCATGGTCAGTTGAGAAAAGGTCAAGGTAGCACAAGTAGAAAGAGAATTAACAAGTATTATATTAAGCTACACACAATTCGAGGCATGATAAAAAATGTGGTGTACGCTTAAATTTTAAAAAATTATTACAGTAAAAGACACATAGGGGCTGGGGATTTAGCTCAGTGTTTTCGCCGCCTGCTGCACAAGCGCAAGGACCCGAGTTCGATCCCCAGTACCAAAAGAAAAGAAAAAAAAAAGGACATTGCCATTAATCCCTCTCAAAATGCTACCCCTCTATTTGACTATCACACACTTTTCCCATCATTCTTGCCACTTTCTGAAGCAGTTCTGGAAGTCCTCCTATGTGAGTGTCTTTCAAGGTCATTTTGACTTTCAGGAAGAGCCAGATGTTACACAGTGCCAGATCCCATCAGAAAGGTGGATGAGGACACCCTGTCGTGTTTTTATTGGACAGAAATTGCAGAAAATGTTTTGATCCAACTCAGGACATCAAGGTGGCCACAACAGCACCACTGAAGACATGAAAGACTTCCAGAACTGCTTCGGGAAGTGGGAAGAATGATGGGATAGCTGTGTTCAAAGGAAAGGGGACCATTTTGAGGGAGATTAATGGCAATGTGTCTTTTACTGTAATACATTAAAAAAATTTTATTTAAACATTTGGCATAATTCTTTATCATGCTGCATATGTATTTCCTTTCTATTTAAAAATCTATTGGTATGACTGATTTTTTTTTGGTACCAGGGATCGAACTCAGGACCTTGCTTGTCCTTGCAAGGCAGGTGCAGTGCCACTGAACTAAATCCCCAGCCTTCTGATTTTAATTCTCTAAAGATTAAGGCCACTTTGTTTTGTGGATTGATCTTAAAATGTGTCTTTAGAAAATGAACTGATTTTGAACAGAGGATATAGAAATAAATATTCACAAAAGCAGTAAAGTTCAGAACAAAGAGACAGTGAAATACATACATTAATACACCTAAAAAAGGCTCAAAGAATCTGCCAATGCACATCTTTGTGATAAATGTGTGTCACAGAGATGGGCAAAGCAAAAAATGTGAACATCACATGCACGCAGCATTAATCTAGGGACTGAAGATGAATGGCACCAAATCAGAGCTTTTGGTGTAGAGTGGGTGGGTTAGAAATAAAGTATTTGTTCTTTATAATGCTATTTATTGGCAAAGTTTGTAGACAGTCACACTTCAGGTTGAGGAAAATTCCCAAGAGAGCCCCGTGGGCCCCTCCTCAGCTCTAATGGTGTTTCTAGGCTTCCTAGGTAACAGGACTTGGTCCCATAAGCCAGAGGAGCACTAGTTTAGAGATCCACGACCAATCCCAAGCACCATCGTGGAACCCAGGCTTCATGCCCAGGTGGCACCTGGAGAGGGCAGAAGCCAAGCCAGTGATATTCCAAGAGGAACAAAATCCCGCACTGCTTCCAAGTATCTCTGGCCCTTAGTCACCACCACCTGAGAGGGCCTTTCAAAATAACAAGATGTTTGAAATGGCTGTCATTTAGACTTGCTCCTTGGCTTAAGAAATCATCTTTCCAGAAATCTCCTGATGAAATTACTGCTTTCATTTTAAATGAAGGACAATGTATGAACGTATTTGTGTCTATACAGGGAAAAAAACATCTGGCCAAAATAGCTTCAGATGACCTAGCAGACAGACAGGGACGGATTTTGGGCTTTGCCAAAAGGGAGGTGGTAGGACAGAGGAGTCGGGGCTAGGAAAGGGTGAAAATGGGGGTGCAGCAGGGTAGCCGTGAGACTCCAGAAGCCAGCAGGAAGACACAGGGGCATGTGCACAGGGATGGCTTGAAGCAAAGGGTGGACGGTGGCCATGAAAGTGGTCAGTGACTGAGGCCATCATGGTTCCTGACCTCCCTCCTCACGGGGCTGGCCAGGTGAGACTGGGTAAGACCAGGATGCCCTGAGATGCCCGGACTCCATATCAGCCTGGGTTCTGGCAAGGAGCAGTCGGTCGTGCAAATTGGGATAAATGGAAAGAAGTTTAATAAAAAGACTACTTATAAACCTGTGCCCTGGGTATTGGAAACTAAAAAGAACAGTGTAGTTCAGGGAGGCAGGAAGAGTGGGGCCTCTGGACTAGCCAGGCCTGAAGGTGTGAGAGGAAGGTAGTGGCTCCCAGAATGCAAAGTGACAACACTGCTGCTCGACAGAGCAGGGAAGGCAGTGGGCCCCCACCACCCTCTCCTCGTATCCTCTGACTCTTGCCAATGCTCCCACTGGCCAAACCCACCAGGAGGCCAGGGAGACAGCTGGAGTGATCCAAATGGTTCAGACTCTGGGGCCAGCTGGAGAAGGGTGCCGAGTGGATCTGGAGGTGAGAACTAAAGCTATCCCCAGCGAGCAAACCAGAGAAAACTCTATTTCCCTCTTGGGCTGGTGGTAGATTCTACTACTAAATGTGTGTAATAAAAGCTGGAAATGGTATACCCTGTTTCCAGGAACACAGTACGACTCCTTTGAAACCATTTTGATTCAGATCCTAAAGTCACCTCTTACCTGACGTGCTCCTTGTCCCCAGAGACATGGAGAAAGAAGACTCCCAGAGAAACGGTGGCCTCCCGCTGGGGAGGGAGAGGGCTTCCGAGGTGGTGCCTGCCAGTGTGCATAGTATCTATTTTTATTCTCCCTTCTTACTTGCCAATTGGTAGGTCTTTGTTTGCAAGAGGCAATGAAAGGCTAGGAAGCTTGAGTTTCTAGTTTCTCATCCTTGCAGAAAATAACCTAACTCCCACATCCATGGCCGCCCATGTGTGCTCTACGTTCTCTCTCCTCTCCTCTTTCTTCTTTCCCTTCTCCTCCATCTCCCCTCCCCTCCCCTCCTTCTCCTTTTCTGTGCCCTCTTCCTCTTCTCTCCCTGTCCCCCACCCTCTTTCCCTCCCTCCCTCCCTCCCTCCTTTCCTTTTTTTTAGTGAGTTATTTCATGGAACAGCCTTTTCTTGGAACCTGTCCATCTGCTTCCCAGGGAAATGCCTCTTTATGCACACAATTGTTTGCTTTCTGACACCACCTCCTATGTGTGGCGCCTTCTTTTCTTTCTTTTTTTTTTTGGTACCAGGGATTAATCTCCAGACCTTGTGCTTTCAAGGCTGGGAGTGGAATCACTGAGCTAAATCCCTGGCCCGTGTGGTGCTGTCTGACACCACTATACCTTAGACTTTTTGAAAAGGATATACCAAGCAAACACATGGACAAGAAAACAAGCAGTGTAAAGGGACACATATTCACACAATGCTCTCATGCCAGCGGGTGGGAAGGGATGCTCTGGGCATGCAGGTACCAGTATTTGTCCCTCCGTACACTGTCTCTGCAGTCCACATCCACCCGTCCACTGTTTAGCAGCAGCTTCAGCAGCGCCAAATTTCCTCTCCTTGCTGCCCAGAATGCAGCATTGGCAAGAGGAGTTTCCTTCTGCAAGAGCAAAACCAAACAGGATCTTAAAAGTGACCTTGGCTAACATGACCACTTTTATGCCCAAAGACAACCCACTCAAAAGGGAGAGCTCCCAGCTGTGTCATATCATCTGGAAGATTGCCCTCCCCAGCAATGGATGATTGTAAAGTACTTGGTTATGGGTAGGAGTGAGACTTCTGAGCCATGGAGCGGTCTGTAGAGTTGGTAATACTGCAGTATTATTGTTGGTAGTACTGCACTATTAATGCTGTGTTCCCCACCAGTGTCTCACCTTCCTGCCTCTGTTATGTCTTTGTTCACAGTTTCCTTTTTGCTTGAAATGAACTTTCCCCCATTCTTCAAGGCCAAGGCTCTGTTCGAATGCTACTTCCTCCCTGAAACATTCCAAATCTCTCTTCTCCCACAGGCAGAGCACAATTCCTCCCTGTCCTGACCTCCCAAAAGGAATTTTTGAGCAATTTTTCTAGGGCCTCAATACTTGCAGATGCAGCTACCTGGGTGAATGCTTCACTTTCCCTCCACCCAATTTCTCTGGCTTTGGGTGCAAGGTGCCAGAGGTTTCAGCTGAGAACAAGGAACCTTGGGCTGAGAATGCCCTTCTGTATCCTTCACTCAGTGGCTGGGGTATTTGAAAGCTGCAAAGTTAATGTTGGCCATGTCTGTGGGAGGCACAGAACTGGAGAAAAGGCCTTCAAAAGGAGCAGCAGATTTCGACGCCTGCTGCATAAACGCAAGGACCCAAGTTCGATCCCTGGTACCAAAAAAAAAAAAAAGGAGCAGCAGAGCTGAGCCAGTACAGTTTCAATCTGGGTTTGTAGAGAACGACCCTTTGGAGGAAGAGGACTGGCTTAGGGACCAGATAGCCAGGGCTTCAGGGGAGCCCTGTGCACGTGCCTTGACCATGGGAGTCTTAGAGTCCTCTTGCTTCAATGGAGATCACAGAACCTGCCTGCCTTGAAGTTTACCAAGAGGATTAAATGATGTAGATTAACTGCCTGACATGGTGCCCACCACACCATAAATGCTGACAAGTGCTGGTTTCCATTATCCTTTTCTTTTCTTTACAAAGTTAGAATCAATAGGCAAATTAAATTTGAATATTATACTAATAGAAAATTTTGCTAGTCTCGGGAAATATTATGGCATTCACATTGTTTAATAATAGTATGATAGGCAGTTAAATTAGAAATATAAAGTCAGAGAGGGCCCTCAAAGTCAGCACACAAAAAAAAGAGAGATATCAGAACTGTGGCTAGAGGGAAATCTGAAGAGAGCCAGGCCTCAGGATGGAGATGCAATAACCAGGCCTTCAAGATAAACAACCTGAGAATATATCGGAATCAGCACTGTCTGGTCCAGTGGGCCCAGAGAGGCATCAGACACACCCTTCCTGCCCAAAATGCCTTTGTTCTTTCCATGTACCCTTGCTATGTGACTCATTTCCCTGTTGATCAATATTAGCTAAGTGGCTATACTCATAATCCTATAGGTTGGTTGTAGTTTGAGCCACATTGTACCCACAGTGTGATGTTGCTGTATAAATTACCCCTGACAAACAGCCTTGGTGGCCATCTGTTCAGGACCCCTCCTATCTCTCCCAAGCTTTCTCTTAAACCTTTCCTACTCTTAACCTCCTCTGTCTCTTGGAATTCATTCTTTGGAATTCATTCTTTGATATTCAAGGGTCATGAACTCAGCACATGTGACATCTAGCAGGTCGGGAGTTATATTTTTTGAGTATCAAAAGCACTTTTGAGTGGGTTTTAAAAAATCTAGATGATCCCAAAGGCAGATGTAATATGTTTTTTATTTTATTTATTTATTTATTTATTTTTGGTACCGGGGATCGAACTCAGGACCAGGCACTCGTGAGGCAGGCGCGGCGCCACTGAGCTAAATCCCCAGCCCTACAATATGTTTTTTAAATACAGTCATGTGCCACATAATGTTTGGGTTAGTAACATGTCACATATACCATGGTAATCCCTTAAGATTATATTGCCTCCCAAGCTCCTAGGGCAGAGAAGCTGAGCAGGTCCCAGCACCTAAAAGGAAGCTCCCCCGCCACCATCCCAAGCCATGTGGGCGCCAGAAGCAATGCCCCCCCCCCCGTTAGAAATGAGAAGACGCGTAAGCAAGTCTCAAAAACAGACTTCTGAGTCACGCGGAAGACACCAAATCACCCCACTGCAGACAGGCAGGTCTGCCCATGCCCTACCGAGGTCCTGAGTTGCACGGAAGACACCGTATCACCCCACTGCAGACAGGCAGCCACCTGGTTCCACACTGCAAAGACGGAGAGGACACAAGACCACCAGACCACGGTACTGAGTCCTGCTGTTCCCGGCCCAGAGGTAGGGGCTTCTGAGCCGCCATCCCACTGCTCCTGGTCCAGAGGAAGGGGCTTCCTGGCCACCATCCCTCCTGCTGCTCCCAGCCCACAGGAAAGGGCTTTTGGGTCACCATCCCTACCGCTGCTCCCGGCCCCTGACCCACCTCACCCGGCTCAAAGGAGGTAA